GATGTCTAATTAGAAAATTCAAATTTGTTCTGCTTCATGTCTAATTAGACAATTCAAATTTGTTCTGCTTGATGTCTAATTAGACAATACAAATTTGTTCTGCTTGATGTCTAATTAGACAATTCAAATTTGTTCTGCTTGATGTCTAATTAGACAATTCAACTTTGTTCTGCTTGATGTCTAATTATACAATTCAAATTTGTTCTGCTTGATGTCTAATTAGACAATTCAAATTTGTTCTGCTTGATGTCTAATTAGACAATTCAAATTTGTTCTGCTTGATGTCTAATTAGACAATTCAACTTTGTTCTGCTTGATGTCTAATTAGACAATTCAAATTTGTTCTGCTTGATGTCTAATTAGACAATTCAACTTTGTTCTGCTTGATGTCTAATTAGACAATTCAACTTTGTTCTGCTTTGATGTCTAATTAGACAATTCAAATTTGTTCTGCTTGATGTCTAATTAGACAATTCAAATTTGTTCTGCTTGATGTCTAATTAGACAATTAAAATTTGTTCTGCTTAATGTCTAATTAGACAATTCAACTTTGTTCTGCTTCATGTCTAATTAGGCAATTCAAATTTGTTCTGCTTGATCAACAAACACACCTGTGGTTTGTATCTAACTGTGACACCTTTCCACAATTTTTTGGAATAATAACTTTATCAACTAATAAAATAATTAATAATAATGTGTATGTAAATTAGAGGATAGTAACTCACAAATTAGAATGACTCCAGTTTGAACGATTTTTTTTAAAACATTGGTGAAATTTTCAGTTAAAAAAAATAGTTTCTCCACATACCGCGATAGGCCCACTCACCGCAAGTATTTCATGGTGAGTGGCAGTTTTTCACAGAAATATTAATTCACTTGAAACAGGAATAATTTAATCTTCCCAACTGTAGCCAGGCTACCCACAAATTAGCAGTGTAACAACTGTAATAATTTTGAGATAATTATTATCTCATACTTTGTTTTCTTTTAATTTTGGTTAAAGTAAATATATAATATACATTTAAAATAAAAAATGACATTAATCCATATTAAAGTTAAATGGCTCAAAGTTAATCACAATTTATAATAATACATAAAAGGTAGTACCCCGGTAGATGATCTTGTGTTGTAGCGCCCTCTAGTGGTCAGTAATGTTTAATAAACAGTATTTGTTTAGACATTTAATACATACATGCATATTACCTCGTATAAAATTGTTTTTTAATATAAATAAATACATAAATAAAGAAATATATAATATAAATACATTTTATGTTTAAATAGTCAGTAGAAACTCACTGTCAATGTGGCAATTTATGAATAACAATATAGTACTACATTTTGTATGTGTGGTGTGTGTGAACGTGATAACAAAAGGAATAACCACATCAGCCAGCATATTGCGATAATTTGCATATTATACCATGACATCATAGTTGGTATTGGCATACAGCTGCTTACTGTGGGTATAAAACCATGCCGTGTTTTCATTGTTCTTGTCTGTAAGTTGAATTTCACTAATTTCAAAATCAATGTTATTGTTATTCTGCTGTTCAAATCGTCCTGAGTTTTAACCACATTAATCCATATATTCCCTGTCATAACTCCTGTCAATATCAAACCATTTTGGCAGTGCTGTGGGTGTGGTGAATTTCAGGACAATTCCGTTTAATTTTAAATTTATCTGAATACTTTATTTCTATATTTTACTTTAGGGGATATTAATTTTCTATTTATATTCATTTTTATAGAAATGTATTTTTTTGGGATTAATTAATATTTAGATAGAAATGGTTTGAATATACTGGTTAGGTGTTTTCTGTATGGCTGTATGAGAACCAAAAAATTATTCATTCTATTTTAAAATAGCCAGTATTTGACAGTATTATGACTGTATGCATCTGATCTGCATATGATCATGTACATTGTACATTGTATACAACCTGTTGTGTTGTGGTTATATTGTATTATATTGCATAGCATATGTACTTATTATATTATATATTTGTCTATGAATGCCAAAATGGAATATATTGAATTTATTTTAAAACCAACATCGATTTAATCTTTTGTTTTTATAAAAAATTGTGCATGTTACCTCATCATTTGACCTTTGACACAAAAGTGCTTGTTTTTTATTATTATTTGTTGATTCATTGTTTTTTATTTTTAATAATAATGAGCTAACTAGCTGATTTACCTGTAATATAATTGTTTTAATTTTCGCTATTAATTGTTATATTCTGTCATGTCTGCTTGGTAATTGATTAATTAGACTTAATTACTCTACTTTCTTTGCATAGTGTTTAATACATTGTCTATGTGTTCTGTATAATCTGTCGCACTCAGCTTGTTTTTACACATGCTGCACATGCATAGTAACCATGGTTGGCAAGAACCGATTGTTTGCACCCAAAAATAAAATAATGATGTTGTTCCCTGTTATTGATTAAACATGTATGTGTTCTTGTTCATATCATCAACAAGTCACTAAGCATTGGCATCAGTAAATTACATGTACATTTATCAGCGTACAATTCGCTTGCTAGTTTGCAAAAATCTAAACAAATTATGTGACAGCGCGACAGCCTATAATCCTGTGTACAGGATTTTATAAATTTACAAAGTTAAATTCAATTTTTGCACAAAACAAGGTCACCATTTCTTTTGTTCTTTTGGTACACAGATTTTATTTTTCATGAAATGTGGACTGAAAAAAAAAAGATTTCCCACATTTCGAAACTGAAGTCAACAATTTGATTTATGTAGAAATGCATACCTGGTTGCCATGGAAACATTCATTTTTAGAATGATTTTATGTATAACTTGGTTATTCTCGGGGGAGGACATCAAGGTATTTTCACCGCTTGGCAACCATCACGGTGAAAACAAAGGCCGAAAGACTCCCCTGAACAGTATAACAAGATTAACTCTGCATGTGTAATGCATATAAATTTGATTGTTCAGGATTACTTCAAAGTTGAGTTCCTGTTGTTTTCTTGAATTTTCACCGGTTCTTCGCTCGGCGTTCCGCATTCCTCCAGAGCACATAGCCCATACAGTGGTGTGTGGAACGTTTTGTGACGTAGCTCCGCCCCTGAGGATAGATGTATTCTCATGAAAGTTTTAGAAAGACACAAGTTTTTAATTTTATTAGATTTTAGAGATGTGGATCCAGTTGCAATGGAGATAATATATTTTTATAAAATTCTTCACCATTGCCAGATAGGGTTGTATTTCTGATTGGTTGAGTGAAAATTCAAGACTCAATTTGGTCTTACTTTTTCAAAAAAATCTAGAAGCTTATGTGAGTTTGATAAATGTGTTTTGACAGAAGAATACATGTTAATACAATAAATAGAGTTATTAACGAGGATACATGTATGTACTTAGCATCTATGGCAGAGGTTTTCGCTTTCAAATTTTCTTCTAGTTTAAAAATAATATAATTTACAAGAGTCAGGAGTTTTAATTAGACAATCATAGTTTAGTGGTTGTTCCATGTGCACATAATAATACCTGTGATACAATGTATCACAATGTTAGGTATTATTATGTAACATGTACATATATGTACACTAATTTGTACGTTGTTGAAATCTAAATTCTAAAAGTCTCTTATTTCATATCTAATCATACATATACCTGAGGCTTTAACCAGAGTTGGTGAAATGAATCCAATCTTAATCTCCCCATAACCACATTGCAGTTTATCTGGTTTTTCATCAAAGTGAAATTGAATTCATATTTTGACGTCAACATTCTTAAAAGCGGTTTAATTAAATCTGTATATTTATCAAGATACTATGCATGCATGCATGTATTATTCTTGTCTTGGTGATTGATGCTTACATTGTAACATAATATTTAATCACTAAAGAATAAAAAATACACTTTGCTTCTCCAGTTTTAATTTCCCTTAGTGCTTAGATGGCTATCGAGTTGAATGTAGATACCATAGTGAAGGCTTACATTCCTTCTGTACATGGCAGATAAAAAATGTATTAAAAATAAATTATAATTCTGTGTTAATCAAGAATATTTTCATGTTCTAATTTTTATTTACTTACATATTTAGATATGGCATGTTGTAACAGCTGTTCAAATCACAAAAGCATGTCTGTACTGCTATCTAGGAATCTGAAATGATTCTGGTTTTATAGTATGAAAGTTGAATGTAGAAAATTGATTTAGTTCTGATTGGGTTGTTGTACATTAAAATTAGTCTATTTTGTGTGCTCTCAGTGTCATACAAATATGCATAACATTTTTGGCACCTTGGTTGATGATGTGTGTTTTTATTGGAGCATGTACATATTATTAATTTGCTGTGACTGATTCAAATAATTTGTTCCATGGCTGTTACTAATTGAGGAGATTTGAGCCAAATATTATGAATACCGGGGGTATATGTTAATTATTAGCACTAGCTGTTTGAGTTATTGGTACCACAGACCTGGAACTGTCTTGATTACCCCTAGTATAGTGATTGTTGCTATGAGCTCACTATCGATAATAATATGGCTACAATGTGTGGTAAAATACACTAATCTGCATATTCAGCAAATATTGTGATCAAAAAAAATGTTAAAAAATAAAACAAGTTGTTTCAGTGTTTTGCTTTTAAAGGTTATATTTTCATTATTGTAAAGTCATTGTATTATATTGAATTTCAAAAAGTCAGAATTCACACACAAATTAATTGTATTTGGATGTACGTGTTACACATAAGCTCTATCCCCAGTCTTAATTCATTTCAAACCGTATAATTTGCTGCAGAATTGCTTAAATACATTCTTGATACTTTCAGATAACTTTATGACAATTAGCTATTTCTAGGTTTAATGTATTCATGGAACTATTTATAACCCAATGAAATTAGATTAATTTAATTGTTATTCAGATCAATTAACAGACACATAATCCATTTGCAGATCTTGAAGCCACAGCGGTTGTACTTGGTTAATTCATAAATGTCTTTCGATTTGTTCACATTTCAGAGGGTCATTGAGAAAAAAGAAGAAAGAGACAGGAACTTATGGATCCTTACCCCGGATAACCAAGAAAAAGGAAGAGCTTGTATCCAGTAATGACACATTGGATGAATTGAATACGTTAATGGGAAATGATAAATATACCCAAAGGTAAGAGTGTATGACTAGGGCAAAAATGCGTTTCCACCATATTGGATTTTGGGTTATATCAGGAATCAGCTAGAATTGGGACTGACTATTAACAGATACATGTACTTCTTGAAGTGGAGAATATTCTGCATTAATTAGAGGAAAATATTGCCCAGGTTGCTACTGTATTTACTCTAATAGAAGCGCTTATAAACAGAAAAAATGTTATTTATTATATACTGCATCATAATAATAATATTTATTGCATCTTTAGAAATACAGTATTTCTATCAGTACAATCAGTGTGACGTTCATGAATAAGGTTCTAATAATCTCTTTTCTCTCACAAGGTTGTATTTTCTTTTCCCTTTACCTCTGAGGAAATGTACATTATTCGGGTTACAATTAAACGTAGCTGATTTTTAATGCGTCTTCTGTGTGATTACAATGTTGTAACCTCGTTAAGTAGCTACATTATAATGTAAATTCAAATTAACTGCGGTAAGGAATATTGTTACCATGATTACCCAGTTAACTTTTCACACCTTGTCCATTACAATGGAAGAAAAGGAATTGAAAAGAAAAATGCAAATGTGTTTACATCACCATAAACAATTATATGTAATTATGCAAAATTATATACATGTATGTAAAATGACTAGTGCTAGATATTTAGGATCTCTGCCCCTATGCTGGTATCTGGCAGTATTGGAGGCCATCATACGTTGTACATGTAAATATTTTTGAGTTAGTATGACATGTAAATGTATATATATGCCCCCTCCATTACATGTCTGCCCCCTCCACAACATTTTTTTGTCTTTGGGTGCGATTGCGACGATGTATATGCCATATCTTTTAATTTCATGATTAAGACATACCCGGTACATGTACAAACAAAAATATAATTGACTGAATTTAAATATTTTGATTTATATCCACTTTATTGTTTTACTATTTTTTTTTACCTAATTATTACTCACCAAGTATTCTGAATGTTTCATCAAAACAATGTAATGCCTACATGTATTTGTATTCAAAATGTTTTTTGATATGTTTTTTAATGTTTTATCGAGTTTTAACTCATTGTCGCTGAGCTACCTGGTAGTTGGAGCATGAAGCTGACTTGTTATTGTTTTATTAATCACACTGTTCTTGTTTCTCTGAAACTTCTGTACTGATTTAGCTTAATCATTAAATTACAATTCCAAGTTGCTCATTTTTGGAAACGTTAAATCTTACACTTTTTTTTTACTAAACACTGATTTTGTTATATTTTCCTTTACCTAGGTTTAAACAGCTACATCTGGCTGCCAGAGGACGTAGTTACAGTACTCCCAGTTCATTTCGCCCTCCGCGTCATATGTCAATGCCGCTAGACGATGCAGACGCTGTGGAAATTGATACCCATTCCTACAGACAGCTAGTAGGTGATGTCACTGGAGTCAAGACCATGCTCTTAAGACTAAAACGAATGCTACAGAATGTGAGTAGTAGATTAAATGTGGGGAGGCATATAATGTGAAATTTTGAGCAATGTTGTAATTAACCATGTCATCCACAATTGCTGAATCGTGGTGGCCTACTTTAAATTGCGTTCAGCGATTGCTTAACCCAGCATTCCATTCAATTCATGTTTAAACATTTTTTATTTATAATATCAACATCAAAGAATACATATTTCAAATACATCACACCCTACAACCAGCTCATATCATTTGCATATCAGTCATTGATTAACATATTAATTTGCATATTGTCAGAAACATTATTGCAAACTTCTAGATTGACATTTCTAAACCAATTTCCTGATTTCTTCATATTCATTACGAAATACACAAGTATTAATCCTGCCTGCTGTAATTTTCCATGGACTTAACTGCATAAGGGATAAAAGTATCCAGTGGAATACTACACGGATAGGACCTTTTTACTCATTTGCATATCAACAGTAAATATACAGATTGTATTTTAAGTGGTGCAACAAAGTAAACTGCACTACAAACATTGTATGAACTAGAGGATATTCAATGTGAAGCTTAGATGAAAATGATGAAAGTCATTCATTTTAGATCAACAATCTATATTAAACGTTACCAACGACATAATTTAAACACGATCAGGTTTTTAAAATATGAAAAAAAAAAAAAGATTACAACCAAGTTAATGCCATAGGAAACAATTGCAGTTTATTGTGTGAGTACCGGTAAAGCACATTTCATCTGTTATCATCATGAAAGCTGTTTCAGTACTTGTTTCACCTTTTAAAAAGTGCTATTATAATTGCTTCGCAATACCTGTGATTTTGTTTGTTCAAATATAACCACATAAATGTGACCAAATCTTACTCAAATATTGGTTTAGACACAATTGTGCATTGACAAATTGACATTGTTATGAGAAGCGGTGTGAAAACTAACGGTCAAGTAGTCGCTATTTTGGTCATGTGATGGAGACTGTATAAAATTATGATGCACAACACACACTGTTATGGGGAATGAGAAATGAAATTAGAGTGAGAGGCATTCAGGAAAAGCTTGTAGCTTCTCAAAATAGAAATTTTTTTTTGGCATTCCGCCCGGGGCCCGGGTAAGTTGTCAGCTTCTACCATAATCTCTTTGGTTCTCTTGACAAATCTGGATTTCAATAAAGGGCATCATCCTCTGGAGACCTGTAAGCAACCTGCCATCTTTTCAGTTGATATTAAAAATAAAAAATCAGAGAAGTTACAGATGTTGCTTCTTTGAAATTCATCATGTCGTGAAATCAAGGTAAATAGATCTTACTAAAATTTTGATAAAACATTTAATTTACTTTTAAAATGCATTCTTTGAAATCAGCCATTTTCAGAAAATGTCAGAATGTGTTCATACTGAATTGTGGTCAACATGTGATATATCACCTATATAACCTACTCACATTGGTAAATTGTAAACAATATAAGGAAATTTGAGAATTAGGTAGAAAAACATAAAAATAAATATTTTTAGTTCCGTGTCCATGACAACTATTTTATAAACATGGATGGCACCAGTACATGTATGCTACCAATCTCTAAACTTTCAGCCAATTTGAAGTTAAACTTTTGAAGTTATAGATGAAATCATTTTCTCAATTTCTGACAACAGATTCTATGATGTCATACTTTACCCATAATCCTTTGCTTGAGAATCAAGATGGCTGACTACATAATACAGATGATAAGTTGAATATCTAGAGAATGAAAAGTGATATAAAAACAACTGTAAATTGCATTCTCCTACATTTGTGGAGCTTTTTTTTCAGGGGTCATTATGTTGTTTGGATTGATGTTTCCTTCAATTTGGTACTTGAAGGGTGATGTGAAATTAAATAGAGTTCATAAATATATTAAATATAGCCTAATTATGTATGGGATAATTTTCAACCTTTTTGATCTGTGTGAATGTTTACATGGCGTTCCTGTCAGTTAGGGTCTCTGTGCTTACAATTACATTGTTTACATTCTCAATCATTTTGAAAAATATATATTTCTGAAAATGTTCAGCACTTTGGGAAGAGTTGGTACATAATTATGTAAATAACATATCATAACACATTGTTGGGGGGGATGCTCATCATGTTCAGTTTTCCAGATCAGAAAGCAATGATTTCTGATTGGAAATACAAAATTTACAGTTGAAAAAGGTCACAAAATGTGCATATACTTGCAAATACTGTGTGATTACTTGGGCCCTTTGCCCCAGTCGGAGCATAGGTCACCAATGATCATCTTCCACTGTACTCGTCTCTGGGCCTTCCTTCTCAGGTTGTGCCAGCTGTTACTGATGTTCCTCATCTCTGCCTCAGTGTCCCTTCTCCAGCTGTTCTTAGGCCTTCCCTTCTTTCGTTTGCCCTGTGGGTTCCAGGTTAGAGCCTGCTGTGTGATGCTCGTTGGTGGCTTTCTGAGAGTGTGATTGACATTCCTTAAAATTACTACCCTGGGAAAAAATGCATAAAAATTGCACACACTCCAACAAATTTTGGTTGTGAGAAATTGGTGTGAACCGCTCAATCATGCATTCTGGATTAGAATCTGAACAGTATTCATCTCAGTGCTATAGTAGTTAGTATCTGCCGTATGGTTATGACATATCAGATCAAAACCTGTTGGTCTTGTATTTCCAATTCAGAGAGGTTACTTTATAATATAAAATTAAATTGAAGAGGCACAGTTGCTGTATAATATGTGTTAAAATTTCATTTATGCAATGTACATGTATGTGAATAGGACTCATAAAAACACTACACTATGATGATATAATACCAAACACTAATGTTACTTTTCAAAGATGTATCTATTTAGTTGATCAGCAGTGTCAATTGAAAATTTAATCTATAATTAAATAATATACTGAATGAATGATTTTTTTTTTTTTCAGGCTGATACCATGTCTCCATTTGACCCAGTTTTAAAGGTAAACATCTGGTTTTTGGTGCATCTTTTGTACACAGGTTTTAAAATGTCAACCATTACAATAAACCATTTTCTGATCACTGCGAGATCCCGTGTAATCGAACGTAAAACAGAATAAACAATAGCTTTGTAGTGGTGTCAAACATAGCGCTGGATTCGAACGTGAAAGTATTTCGGGGAATATTTCTATGCTTGACAATAATAATGTGTTGTACACATTTGATAATGATCAATTTTGATGTAAGGGTATCTGAACCCAATATTTCCCTGTCAAATATCAGTCTTTTGACTTTGAGATCAAAATCAAATCGTTCGTTTTTTGCGGCAGATGTTCAGTCTTTCACACAATATGCAAGATCTCGCAGTTGAACGGAAAATCACCAATTTACTGTTAATTAACTGTTAAATTGTGTATTAATTTTTGACACTGATAAATAATTAGTGAGAGTTTGGGGAATGTAAAGTGCCACCTAAAATGCCTCTGTTGGATATGCGCTTCAAATAAAGAAAATACAGTATATGTGTCTTCATTGAAGATGTGCTTCTAGTAGAATAAAATACAATAAATCCAGAACTTTTGATTAGTGTCATATGGAACTAGGTCGAAAACAAATTCATATACTGTAGAATACCGTATTTTCACTTGAAATATATTTTCAGCGAATGGATAGATCAGTGAAAATAAAATCCAGTGAAAATACCTTTTTTTCCTATATTGTACATTCACCTCATCACAACTTAGTGAGAGTAAACTTTATATAATAAAAGCCAAGTGTCTTTATTCCAAATAAAATGAAGTATTTTATAGCAACTTGAAATGATTGACATTTGTTCAATATTACCTAAAATGACTAATTTTCACTGGGTTTAAATTTCGCTGATTTACCATTTCAGGCATATTCAGGGGGTTTTAAATTCACGGTTTTATCATTTAGATAATATGTCCTATGCTGAATTTTATATATTTTTCCAAGTCAGCGAAATAAGCAAAATTAAAACCCAGTGAATAATTTACCCTTTTTTAGTATAGATTTTACTGTGCTGTAGAATAATTCATAATATGGGTCAACTACTGTAAAATACTTAATTTTCGCTTGGAATTAATTTTTGCTATTATCGCTAAAGGAATGATTAAGTGAAAATAAAATCCAGCGAATATACCTTTTTTTCCTTATTTTACATTCAACTTGTAAAAAAAATCAGTGAAAATAAATTCCATACAAAATACCCAAAATGTCTTTTCAGCAAAAATTTTATTAATTAGCGAAAATAAATTATTTGACAGTAACTAAGAATAGGACTAACATAAGTATAGAACATACTCAATGTCTGAAACAGATGAAATGTAGAAAACATATCCAAACCATAAAGATCTCTATTAATTAATCTATTACCTTTTAGAATGTTGCTTTATTGCAGCATTTCAGTGATAGATTAATGAACAATGTTATTATATTCCTGCAGGCTATGTCAAGTGCCACCAGTAGCCCATATGGCAGTGAACCTACCAGTCCAGAAGGAAAGAAATTACCACCTGGATACAATGTAGATATACTTTTTCAGGTTAGTCAGTGTAAAGATTCATCTATTAGTACATAACATTTCCTTCATTATTTTAGTTTACACAGCGACCTGTTTCACATTTTGTGTGCCCAATCACTAACCAGGCTGCAATCTTATCATGTGCAATGCTGTCTTCCAAAGTACCATTGAGAATTTTTTGAATTTGGTCTTCCTAATTTATAACGATCAATGATTTTAATTTTGTCATTTTCTGGTTCAACAAGATTAAATGATTTAAATGTCTTGCGATTAAATTGTCCTGCAAACATTTGAGTTGCTGAACAATCATTTGACTGTAAAGCAATTACCTTGTCAATGTAGTTGATTTACCCATGTTCATACGCTGTGTCATCATCTTCTTTTTTCAAATGCTAAGCATGGAAGTTATCTTCTATTAGATCTTGGCAGAGATAATGTCATAATACCAATGGTAAGAACTCATTGCTGGAAATTTTATAAAATAATTTCAGATTAAAATTGTACACTTTTTTTTTCCAGGAAAATCAAGAGTTAAGATACAAAAAATATCAGTTAGAGTGCCAGGAAAAAGACTGGATAAAATTAACAAATGAAAAAGACAAACATATCAAGAATTTACAAGACCAGGTGGTAAGTATTATACTGGGAATTGTGGGTAATTTGGTGATTATTTGCCAAGCCGTAGGATAGCCAATATGAGGACACAAACCAATATATATTTTTTTGCTGTAATTTTACATTTTTTACTTTAATGATACGAAATCTAACACACTCTGGTAATCACTGTCATCTTGTAAAGTTTGTTTGCAATTGTGCTTACAAATGTCAATGGCCTATAAAATACAGGGTATTCCTATTTTAAACTTGCATGAAAGTATTTTATTTAATCATTTCATTTAGATTTTAAGTGGAGGTGCAGAGCTTAGCATATGTTTGTCTTGCACCCTGAGGTTCTGGGTCAATTTCTGTAGCCCACTGTTTTCTAAGCAGTATAAATCAGGGTACAATCTATCTGGGTACAATTTGACAGCTTTTATATGTAGCACTTGTGCTTTTCAAGTCTGGTATGCTTTGCACCTTTAAGCTGAGAATATACGTTGTACTGCCCTCTATCAGGTTTAGTGAGAGAGGTAGTTTCTGTATGTGGTTCGTGGCTTTAGGATTTTCAGTAGAGCAGTGTCAAGTTTTGTCAACATTTCAGGTAAACTTTTCCATTCATCTGTGCATAATAGCAGTGTCATTGTTTTCTGTTTGTGCTACAGAGAAAGTTATCTGAGCAGCTAAGGAAAGAAACCAGTGATACCGGAGTCCAGACTGATATACAATTGGTATGTATTGTTGCAACTTTAATTCAGAAGTGCAATTGTTCAATTCAATATGGCCATCTTATGGCCATTTTTGTAAAAGATGTGGAAACAATGAATGAATGCAGTGTAGAAGTGTTTTGAGCCCTTGATATGTAATTTAATGTCGTTTTCTATTTATTTTATTTAAAA